ATTCCAGGCAATATGTGCATTGGTACAAATGTTGCAATAAACAACATTACAGATGGTCTTGTAATAAAATAAAAAATGACAAAACTCAACCCTATCTCTTTTGGTTAAAGCTGCAGTCGGCAAGTCTGGCAGATTGAGTCGACTTAGGCAAAAATTTTAATGTTTACAACTCTCATGCCCCTCCCCCACTATCAACGGATACCCTCCCACGAGTTCGTGCTCGTCAGTGCGTGTGCACCAGATTTTCTGTGAACGCGCCCGTCTCATCAGCATCCATCAACACCATGGAGTATTTGGAGGTATGCTGCCCTGGCTAATCTACCGATAGATTGCAATTGCTAACGTCATTTATACTCTAAATGAGCTTTTCCGCCATCACTCTTCGTTACTGCGCGAACTTCAGGCGTGTGCATGTGATTGTAACGTGTCAGATCTCACACCCCCCTGCGCTGATTGGACCCGATGATCCGGGAGCGGTGGATTTTTGCAAAACAAATAACACGCTCCAGGTGGAGAAGCTCAGGTTTTTTTCTAAAACCACTTTATTTATGTTGTTCTGTCGGATTATAGTGAAATTTACAGCTTTAAATTTCAGTTTTATCAATAATAGCCATTATAAAAATATAAGTAAAAGGTACAAAAAGCTATACAGTAAAGCTTTAAAAACATAAAGCAAACAATTCAGTCAAATATACAAATTCAGCGCTCAAATATATGAAACTTCACTTAGCCTTCTGCCAAAACTATTGGCCAGGGAACGAATTATAGATTCACGAGATCAAAGATCGCCTGTTAGTTCTATACAAGACGAATTATATCTCATGTTTAACCACTACAGAGATGTCAGAGTCAGCGGCAAACATCAGAACGACTAGCCGAGGAAAGGCGAGCGCCCGGTGATTGCTTGGAATGGATCTCAGTCAAATTATCATAAATCTATAAATAAACCACAGATTTGAGCTTTAAAAAACTACATTCTCGCCTGAAAAACTCTTAAAACTACTTTTCGTGACACAATAACAGTAGTATTATATTTCAACTGTATATTAAAAAAATGGCGCTTCTAATGCCCTTGTAGCACGCACAAGTGACGATACTCTGTCAACCAATCAACGTTCTTCAGTGAGTCTAGCTCCACCTTTTAGTACCGTACCACTGTGCTAGGTACCCCAACGGAAGGGTACCCAAAAAGTGGTTTATGTACCGTACCGCTCAGTGGAAACGAGCCATTTGTTTTTTTTGCGCACAAAAAGTATTCTCGTCGCTTGATAAACTTAAGGTTTTGCCACTGTAGTCACTTGGACTATTTTAACGATGTCTTTAATAACTTTTCTGAGCCGGCAAGTTTCGATCCCATAGAAGCCTATGGAGGAGTGATCCAGCTCTCAGATTTAATCAAAAATATCTTAATTTGTGTTTCGAAGATGAACGAAAGCCTTATGGGGCTGGAACAACGTGAGGGTGAGTAATTACTGACAGAATTTTCAGGTTTGGGTGAACTAACCCTTTAAGCCCAATTTTTATTTCTGCGTCGGACCTACGGCGTAACCTCTATGCTGTGGAAAACGCGTCGGTTTTCATTTATACTTCTGCGTCGTTGTCGCATTGATGTGCAATTACACATGCAGAGGCAGCATGTGAAACCCGGGGGAGGGGCTATAGCAGACCAATCACAGGGCTTGTGCATAAATTCGCATAAATTGCTGATTTCCGCGCAAAATATGCGGGGCTTGCATTATTTCATAATTCCCGCATTTTCGTCACAAAAAAGTCACGTATATCTTAGCTACAGAAAGTTGGAAAATGTTGTGTTTGCTTCACACAAGAGCAGCCTTCACCCTGTTGCCATGGGAACGTTATGAAGTGACGTAATTATGCGACGTGAACATCATCGAAAAGCTGTAAAACAGGAGCACACTTTATTTTTAAATATTTAATTTATTCATTTTTACTGAAGTTGTAGCATATTCCTCTAGTAAAGCTACAGAACTTGTTTGACTTGTTAAGGTCTTGTAACGCGTTGTGTCGGGAAGAAAAATAGGGATAGCTCACAGCTGAAGTTATTGCAGAGGCCAGACAGACTCATGGAGGCGATTGGCATCTCACAACTCGCACTTTATTGTCAAATTGACTTGTAACTGTCTGTCACACGTTCTACCGTCCACATCGTTACTTAATAAACAAAATAAGATAAAAGAAGTAGCATCAAACAGAAATGACCCGCACACATGTGGTGTTCGAGGCGCATGGCACATACAATATAATACTCCAGTCCAGACAGCACACAGCTCTTAAAGGGGCCACACCTTATTTCCACTCGTTACAGTCTGAAATAAAACAAGATGAGAAATTAAATATTTCCAGCACTTTCTCTGATGTAGTATGCTTGCTTATCATAGGAAGTAATAAGAAAGGACTCTTTACATTAAGGTAGTAGCCTAGTGAGAACAGGGTGTTGGGGGAATCACTTTTTTTTCTCTTTTTCATCAAACCGCAGTTTTTGCAAGTTCCCGCAATTTCAGTTACATATTTATTTACATAAATATCCCGCATATTCCATCGCATTTTTAAAGAAAACGGGCGTAATCAAGGATTTTTGCCCGCAACAATCACAAAAAAAACTCTGCGTTTTTCTGGAAGGACTGTCTGTCCAATCAAATGCTCTCTAGAATCTAAAGCGTCCCACAACTCCCGCCCCCTATGCTATAAATACCACCTGGCCAAAGCGACTGTTGACACGTCACGGAGCAATATGGGTTGGGGATGAGTGTTCGGTTGCTCAAACGCTCAAGTTTTATTCCGTTTTCCAACTGTACGTTGGTTAAGAATAAAATGACTAGAATTTATTCACACCTCTACTATTGAATCCAACGTATCATCAGCGCTCGGATTCGCTTCCATGGTGCTGTCAAGTGCGAGTTGCAGTCTGTGAGGTAAACTAAACGCTATTGGCTATTTGAAAAGGGGGAGGATCCATTCAATATGTCCCGCCTTAGCTTCCTGTTTCAGTGGAAATTACGTCAACGCATCATACAAAGCTGCGCGTAACAAGGCACTTCAGTGGGCCTTTAGACATGGCTGATGAAGAGCAATATTCTTTAGTCACCACATCTCTTTAAACACTCCTCTACATCACGGTCAGTCTATTGACCAATAGAAGTCCTCATGATATTGCAATTGTGATGGTTTGTCACCTGCTGAAAAACGAGGAACTGTGCTACAATGCAAAAAATGTTACGTAAAGAAAACCTAACTGCAGCATAATGTCTAATTTAACTGACTAAATCAACCGGACTACATTAAACACACCAACAAATTATTATTAAGAGTCATATGAAATCACTTTGCAGTTTTATTTCCTGTGAAATTTTTGAAAAGTCGATGGAGGAGTAGATGAACAAGAAAAGGGGTCTAAAGGGAGTCTCTATTGCGCCAAATTTCACATTTTAGTGTGTGATTAACAAAAACACCATAGAGCTTAGTTCAGAGTGCATGAAGATCTTCCTGCAGTCACGTGTCGATATTGCTATTAGTCTTTTTACTTTATACTCCTGACCTGCACTGCCCACTGTCCAAAATGCAGCTGTCTCATGTATCTATGCAACCAAACTAAGCATGCAGTACACACACTCAAAACACTTTCTTGAAGGTTATGTGATATAACCTATAACGGGCATATCTAATCCTCTGTGAAACAGGATATGTCACTCCTCATAGAACAACCCTGTGCGCGATCGCCGCTGCCACAATCACACACACTTATTTTCTGGTTCCTGGCACCTAATAACACCTCGCTCTCTTTCAAGCACTTGCATACAGGAGGTTCACACAGCGCCAATAATGACTCTTATTTTGTCTATGATATGTCATTTAACAGCTCAACATGAATAAATATGAACGAACTAATTCTCTGAATTTTAGATCATGCAACGCAATGGCTGTGTAAAAATTGCAACACTTGTTTAGAACAATTTGAAGGGATAATTCACCCTAAAATGAAGATTTTGTCATCATTTACACACCCTCAAGTTGTTCCAGAGTTTCTATCTTCTGTTGAACACAAAAGTAGTATTGTTTTACCTACTATGGAAGTCGAGGGCGAGTAAATGATGACTTTTATTTGGGTGAACGATCCTTTTATGAACAACTATTTTTACAGCATGCCATTTCAGGTACTTTACAGGGGGTCAGTGAGGTAAATTCCAGAGTATTCCAGAATCATGAAAATGTTAAGTGTGTGGGTCGACTTCTCTGAAATAAACATACTCAAGAATATGTACTTGCACATTTTTGGGGTTAAAGTTTTTTACACAATACATAAACCATGGTTTTTTTTTTTTTGGCTGGTCTATAAGGGTTAAAACGCTAAAATATTATAATGTCATAAATATTAATGTACAATAACCGTGGTTACAAATGTGTATAAAAAACAACATTTCAAACGCAAGAAAAGCACTGAAAGCAAATGAAACAGACAGTGAAGACTAAATGAGGAGACTGACCTTATATGAAATCGGATCACTGGATTTTCTTCAAGTTCTCCTCTGGTGTCAGTGGATTATCATGGTTCAGTCATTTGTAGGGGTTTCTCTCTCCTGTACACGGCCATTTCTGCTTGAATACATCAAACTTCAGGGACAAAATTGACAAGGCTTCATCTTTGTGAGTTCAGCGGCAAAACACATTAAAGTGGTCCGTTTCCTTGGAGTTTTTCTTAGATTTCATACACCAATTAGTTTTAAAATTGAGTGAAAAATATTGCTATAAATAAATTAAGATACTGATAGCCACAAACTTCACAAAAACTGTGTTTTAGACTAACAATAAAAGTGGTATTGATCAAGACCCTAAAGTCCAAACAATTATTTTACAGAAAATTATGTACATGCATTTATTTTATTTATTTTTAAATAATATGCTTTAAAAGAAGAAACCCTATTTTGGCTTTTCACATAAATTGGAGAGATTGGGGAACTATATACAATAAAATAAGTCAAAGAGTTAAGGCCTGTGATTTTTGAATTTCAAAGCATCCCATCAAAGCAAGTTCTTAATATTTTACTTATTTAATTCATTATTATTTTGTTTTCTGCTCTGAATAAGAAATCTTAAAAGTAATGCTTAAAAGCTGTTGGTGCCCAAGAGATCAACAGATTAAAATGTACTTTAAAAAAATAACAGCAACTTTCCAGGATTTTAGCAGTGCGATGATCCTTGGATTGCACAGATTTTGGGTGCATTAAGCATGGATGGACTAGAGGTTTGTCTTTCTCAGGAGCATTTAATATTCCATTTATCACGTTAGTCTTCTCAAACATGTTTGATTCCTCTCTGTATTCTTAATCTCTTGAATTTGAAGATTTCTTCAACATGACACAACACAACACAACAACGCTGCTCCTGGTCAGTATCCCTGAGATTAAAATAGCTGAAGTTGGAAACAATGACGGGCACCGGTAGTGCAATGGGGTGGTGACGGACGAACTAGAGGTCTGTTTCTCTAGCGTCCAAGCAAAATGTATAAAGGGAACGTTTAATATCCATTCTGCTGTTAGCTTTCATGTTAGTCTTTTCAACAGGCGTTGTTTCTTCATTATGTTCTGTATCTCTGGAGTTGGAGGTTGATGATTTCCTCAGCCCATGTGTTTCATCACATGGGTTTGAAGGGCTACCAATATTTGGCTCGTCTCTGAGAGATGCCTGGTCTTGGTCAGTTTCTCTGTGGTAGAAATAGTTAAAGTTGGACACGATGACGGGCACCGGTAGTGCAATGGTCAACACCCCTGCAATGGCACAGAGAGAGCCCACAATTTTGCCCCCCACCGTCACCGGTCTCATGTCACCATACCCAACTGTTGTCATGGTCACCACCGCCCACCAGAAGGCATCTGGGATGCTGGAGAAGTGAGACTCAGGTTCATCTGCCTCAGCAAAGAAGACAGCACTGGAGAACAATATGACACCAATGAAAAGAAAGAAGATCAAGAGGCCCAGCTCTCGCATGCTGGCTTTCAGAGTCTGACCCAAGATCTGAAGCCCCTTGGAGTGTCTAGAGAGCTTAAATATGCGAAACACCCGAACCAAGCGAATGACTCTTAGTATGGCCAGAGACATGGCCTGCTGGCCATTATTGTGCTCCTGACCCTGCTGTTCTGCCAGCTCTGTGCCCAGGGTGATGAAGTAAGGCATGATGGACATGATGTCAATGATGTTCATGATGGTTTTGGAGAATTCTGACTTACTGGGACAAGCAAAGAAGCGCACGAAGAGCTCAAATGTGAACCAAATCACGCAGGTGGTTTCAATGATGAAGAACGGGTCGGTGAAGGTGAGCGACGGGCGCTCTTGAGTACCATTGATCGCGCGACTGGTCACTGGAAGCTCTCGCTCGTCGCGAAACTCGGGTAAAGTTTCCAGACAGAAAGTTATGATGGAAATGGTGATGACGAGGACGGAGACGATAGCGATGCCTCGCGCAGGACTGGAGCTTTCAGGGTACTCAAAAATGAGCCATACCTGTTTCTGAAATTCATTCTGTGGCAACGGTTTCTCTTCTTCTTTGATAAAGCCCTCGTCCTCGCGGAAACGGTCCATCGCGTCTTCTCCCAGCTGATAAAAGCGGATTTCGTCGGCAAACACGTCGATCGACACGTTAACGGGTCGCCGGATTTTCCCGCCGGACTGATAGAAATAAAGAATCCCGTCAAAACTCGGTCTGTTACGATCAAAGAAATACTCGTTCCTAAGGGGGTCGAAGTACTTTATTCTCTTGTCAGGATCTCCCAGTAAAGTGTCGGGAAACTGGTTCAGAGTGCCCAACTGGGTCTCGAACCTCAGCCCAGCGATATTAATAAGAACTCGTTCGTTGTTCTCATGGTCCATATCCATATCCAGAATGTCCTCATCAAACAAATGGGGACTGTAATACTCCACTGTATTCTCAGTGGAGCCCATCATTGTGTTGTTCATGTCGTTCATTTTCCATGAGCTCTGTTGTGGACTTCTGGAATATATTTCTTTGTTGTGGACCAAGCGTGGATGATCCAGTGAGTTTTGGTTCTGGTAGGTTTCTCCATCACTGCCTCCATCTCCTCGCTTATCAAAACTCACCAAAGCTATCTCCATTTCCAAGCCATTAAATATTCATTAATAAAAGATCTGTAGAATTAAAACCAAAAGCCACTCATAAATCCACACTCGTTTTCTTTGCCGTTAGATTCTGCTTCGGATAAAGATGTGCATCATAATCCAAACATCCTCCCGTCACTCTGGTAATACATGTGTGTGCTCTGAGCGTAAGTACTGGAGTGATTCACATGACTCGGTTCTTTTGAACGGATTCTTTTGAATGAATCGATTCGCTAAGCGTTGGTGTATCACTCGGCTGTGAGGACTTTCTTTGAGGTGGATGGATATGAAAATAAATTCGCAGTGATAAATAAACTAAATGTTGATTTTATTAATAAGAAGCAGCCACCTGCCGCGCGGAGACCATAACATGTTAGAGTAGTGAGTCACACAAATGAATTGAATGAAGCTAATCATTTCGCTGAAATGTGTGGGGAGAGAGATTCCCTCCGTTCAACAGTCTAGCTATTTATGTTTTTTAATACCAAACATGCTATAAAATAAATTTAATTAATTAATAGCCTATTTAAGATCGAAGGTTTGAGTTTTTACTTGTTGATCTCTAGTCTAACCCATGTAGCTATAAGGCTTTTATTTATTTTTTTAAGATTTAAGTTTTTAATGTAAGCCTCAAGGTTATCTATAAGCTAGTGTGCTCCAAAACAATGACAACATTCGCATTAGAAGATATAAGCAATCAAAACATACAGTCTCTCACTTCTGACAATATGTATCAATGATTTTGATGACATCACTCAGCACTTCAGATTTTCTGGCAAATCAAATGCTCTCTAGAATCTAAAGTGCCCCATCCCCCCACATTATAAATAGACACTGAAGCTGCTGCTGAAATCGGTCACTTGTTCACACATTTACTATTTTCTACATGGTGAATGGCACATAATGCCCTATATAGGGAATAGGGAACTATTCAGTAAATATGCTTTCCATTGGGACGAATGAAGTCTGGTTTCACGCAAACTGGCACACCACATACACAGTCTGCTCTGGTCCAGTGACACGATTGCACAGAGCGTATCTTATGCGCGAGTTGGCGCAGACCACAAAACGTATATCGAACCCATTTGAATTCTGCACAGAATGCTATATTTTAAAGCGACGGTAGAGATTAGGAGGAAACTGCGGCTTTGCCGAGCTCAGCGGGTCTGGTGGTCGAGCTGTGATATAAACTAAACGCTATTGGCTATTTTAAAAGGGGGAGGAGCTGTTCAATATGTCCCGCCCTGTCCTCCTGTTTCAGTCGAAATTACGTCACATTGAATAATGCTGTGTGTTTCAGGGCACTTCAGTGGGCTTTTAACCCCAAGCAACACTGTTAATAAAAGAGTAACTAAAGTGAAAGCATTAATAAAAGATAAATATTACTATTGTCTTTGTTGTAGATTCTTTCATCATGCTCACTAAGCTTTTTATTTACATGTTTATATGTAATATACAAGACACATAGGTTATTGTCCATAGACAATGGTGTATGAAATAAAAGCCTGCCAACTTCCATTTTCTGACTATTCTCGTGTGATTTATTTTCTGGCATCTGTGCTAAATAAGCATACATTCACACATGAGTTGACATTATTTTGACTTGGCCTAAGTTGCATCACCACGGTAGTTCATGAATGTGTGTGTCTCATTTTCTGACGTTATTTTGAGAGACGGTGCACATATTCAACTAACCCAGCACAGAGGAATTCACATGGATGATTCCTGCATGTACATCAATTAAGAATTGCTAATGATGCATCACAATGCTCAATTTTACTTCAGAAATCTCACAGGACCAGAGACTTTCTTCTTCTTCAAATATTGTGTAATATCAACTTGCACATATTTTAAGCCTTCCATGAACACAAATGTCAAAGCTTTTGATTTGAGGCCTGATTTAAAATTAGATTTTCAAAATCTGGAATATTTTCTCCCACTGGGATAAAACTATGGCAACAGCACTTCTGATTGAGACACGTTAAGCCAACTTCATGACTCAGGTCATTAAGGTACCAAAATAGAATATGACAAAAAAATATTTTTGACAAAATCTCCATGAACTATCAACCAACCATGTCCTAAATAAAAAGGTTAAAATGATCAGGGACTTTTGGGTGGTACAGTAACACCACATAGAGTGTTTGACATCAAACCCTACATAAATAATAAAACATTTAAAATATTATTATTCATTGAAGAGGTTCATTCAAGTCATTGTCAGTGTGATTTTTATTTTTTTTATTTTTCTAAATTAAACTCTTATTTTGCCTGAAAGCCCGATTTACCTTAACCTTAATTCGATTTACCAATACATATTACAAATGCCCTGCACATACTGAATCTTGACTTGCCTTCATGGATTAATACAGCGTGGAAGCTGTGATATCTTACAGAAGTCCTTTATCCCTCAAACACTGCCTCATTTGCCCTCTCCATATGCTGAACAATCTGTGTGGAAATAAAACACTTAAAAACTGCTGCCGTTGAAGACAAGTAGGGAAATGATAAATGCTTAAAAAGAGAATGAGTGGGTTAAGTGTAAGAGGAAAGAGAGAGATTATGTGTTGAAGGTGTCAAGCGAGTAACCGGTGATGGAGAACTGATCCCGGTGGAGTATTAACACTGAATGAGGTGGCTGAAGACCTGCTGCTGCTTCTCTTATCGTGGCATTTGCACTCTTTCTCATTCACTCCATTCTGTGGTAAAATATGGCTCACATGACCTCAGTCTTTATCCATGCTTCAAGATAATCTCCAGAGCTATATAAAACAGTTTAAAATAGAACTGCATTCACCTGTTTCTGTGTGTCTGTAGTTTGTTGAGGCTATCACTTGTTAAACCAGATGTATAAGTATTGTGACATCGAAATCAGGGTCAAGCGTTCACCTAAAGCAGGGATATTCAATTAAAGTTCCCAGAGGTCCAGTCTCTATATTTCCTTCCCAGCAGAGGACAATACTTTTTTGGAACAGTACATTTCCATCGGGGCAGCCGTAGTATTTTGTAAAAGAAAAAATCCTAAACACTCAAAATATTAATCAAAGATGAGAATCTTGGGCCCTGAGGGCCAAAGCAGTAATGCCTAAGAATTTTTACCAATATTTACCCCAAAAAAAGTAAATATTTCTCCCAACTGGATATGAATGTAAAAAAGTGAGATCAGATCAGGCTATTATTTATTTATTTACATTTAAACACCTATGTCTATGGCACATAGAAGGCATTGGGACTGAGAAAAAAATGGGGTGCAGGGTTTACCTCTTAAGACAAGTTTGGAACATTTTTATATTTTGCTTAAAGTAATAAACTACTAAAACAAACAATCTAATAATGAAAAACTCTAATCATAAGCACCAAATAAAGTTTACTAGTAATTAAAGTATTTTTTGGTCTTCCCTTGCCATATCCAAGTACGGTGGTCTCGGTGCCCTCAAGTCTGGTGATCTCAGCTCCCCAAGTCCGGTGGTCCCAGAGTTACTGCCACTGTCATTTGTGCTGTCTGTGATGGCTTCAGCCGTCTTGTGTGTTTGGGCAGCACACACGCACTTCTACTGCTCCTTCCGAGGCGGCAGCGACTGCTACAGCTCCTCGACCGTGTCAGCTCCTCCTGAGGCAGTAGCTACTCCTACAGCTCCTCGAACGCGACAGCTCCCCCTGAGGTGGCAGCGACAGCTACAGCTCCTCGACCGCGGCAGCTCCCCCTGAGGTGGCAGCTACCCCTACAGCTCCTCGACCGCGACAGCTCCTCCTGAGGCGGCAGCTACCCCTACAGATCCTCGACCGCGACAGCTCCTCCTGAGGCGGCAGCTACCCCTACAGCTCCTCGACCGCGACAGCTACCCCTGAGGCGGTAGCTACAGCTCCTCGATCGCGACAGCTCCCCCTGAGGTGGCAGCTACCCCTACAGCTCCTCGACCGTGGTCCCAGAGTTACTGCCACTGTCATTTGTGCTGTCTGTGATGGCTTTAGCCGTCTTGTGTGTTTGGGCAGCACACACGCACTTCTACTGCTCCTTCCGAGGCGGCAGTGACTGCTTCAGCTCCTCGACCGCGTCAGCTCCTCCTGAGGTGGCAGCGACCGCTACAGCTCCTCGACTGCGACAGCTCCTCCTGAGGCAGTAGCTACTCCTACAGCTCCTCGAACGTGACAGCTCCCCCTGAGGCGGCAGCGACAGCTACAGCTCCTCGACCGCGGCAGCTCCCCTTGTGGTGGCAGCTACCCCTACAGCTCCTCGACCGCGACAGCTCCTCCTGAGGCGGCAGCTACCCCTACAGATCCTCGACTGCAACAGCTCATCCTGAGGCGGCAGCTACCCCTACAGCTTCTCGACCGCGACAGCTCCTCCTGAGGCGGCAGTGACCGTTACAGCTCCTCCTGAGGTGGAAGCTACCCCTACAGCTCCTCGACCGGGACAGCTCCTCCTGAGGCAGCAGCGACCGCTACAGCTCCTCGACTGCGACAGCTCCTCCTGAGGCAGTAGCTACTCCTACAGCTCCTCGAACGTGACAGCTCCCCCTGAGGCGGCAGCGACAGCTACAGCTCCTCGACCGCGGCAGCTCCCCTTGTGGTGGCAGCTACCCCTACAGCTCCTCGACCGCGACAGCTCCTCCTGAGGCGGCAGCTACCCCTACAGATCCTCGACTGCAACAGCTCATCCTGAGGCGGCAGCTACCCCTACAGCTCCTCGACCGCGACAGCTCCTCCTGAGGCGGCAGTGACCGTTACAGCTCCTCCTGAGGTGGAAGCTACCCCTACAGCTCCTCGACCGCGTCAGCTCCTCCTGAGGTGGCAGCGACCGCTACAGCTCCTCGACTGCGACAGCTCCTCCTGAGGCAGTAGCTACTCCTACAGCTCCTCGAACGTGACAGCTCCCCCTGAGGCGGCAGCGACAGCTACAGCTCCTCGACCGCGGCAGCTCCCCTTGTGGTGGCAGCTACCCCTACAGCTCCTCGACCGCGACAGCTCCTCCTGAGGCGGCAGCTACCCCTACAGATCCTCGACTGCAACAGCTCATCCTGAGGCGGCAGCTACCCCTACAGCTCCTCGACCGCGACAGCTCCTCCTGAGGCGGCAGTGACCGTTACAGCTCCTCCTGAGGTGGAAGCTACCCCTACAGCTCCTCGACCGGGACAGCTCCTCCTGAGGCAGCAGCGACCGCTACAGCTCCTCGAC